TTTTTTTCTCTCTTAATAATTTTACGACACATCGGTTTATTAAGTAATTCGTTGTTAATCCTTTATAGCTGTTTTATAAGGGGTGCCTGGAAGAGTTCGCTTAGTAGCGATAATGTCGCCCAGGTAATTGTTTTATTTGAATCGTACAAACTGTTATATTGTGTAATCTTAATATACATATATAAATTACGTGTCACGTTGTTTATCCGCTATGGACTCCTAAACTGCCGAACCGATATCAATCAAATTTGCAGACCGTGGGCATTTTGATCTAACTTAAAAGATAGGATAGTTTACATCTCAATTTATACCCGCAATATTATTTTATTGCAAAATATTTGTTTATTATATTTTAATAGTCACAATTCTAACAGATGGCACAGTGTTGAAAGTACCAACGTTTCACATAAGCTACAATTTAATGGCATAACCAATAAAGCATGGTGGTCCCCGTGACTGGTGTTCTCCTACCGTTTCCCTTGAATAGTTTACTACATACTATGTAATATAACAAAAACCTTAGCCACAGCAACGCTTGGCCGGTCTGCTAGTTTATGTAAAAAAAATCAATTTCCTAACTCGGTAATGACTACTTAGGATATTGATGTGGTAATTCCTGAAACTGTCTGACCGTCCAATAAACGTGTTCAGGCGGTTAAACGCAATAAGCCATAAAAGATATCGGTATAGGAATCCATATTATGCTGGATTAAGTTTTTATACTTTTATCAATAATCGAATCATAATAAAAAGTAAAAAAAATAGATTAATAGTCGGGCTTACAATTAAATTGGTGTGTAACCAATGTAATTGTAAGCAATCATATTAATGTATACCTAAACATTAATTATCATATTATTTCCGTGTTATCAAAGCCTTGACAATGTAAAGTGTACTTCCTCAAAGTAAGATTTAAAATGTAATTGCGTTGCATACGCAATCGTAGTGCAAATATTTATTTTAATTTTGTTTTTGATTGTTTATTTATAAGTCATATAGACCCAGTTTTTAATACAATAAATTTGATTTTACAAAAATAGAAATTTTAGAAAAATGTCTTATTAATTAACATCATTTCTACATATTCCTGCTATTTTTATTTGTATTTACCGATATACCCATATCACCAATATGATCGAAGTATCACCATAGCGATGGGACACACACAGTACTGACACTGACACAGCACTGTGACCTTTGCCGACTATTAATCACAACGGACACATGAATATTACAAATTAGAGTTCCCTATCGATTATCCTGCTTTGAAAGTGGAAATTTGTTGCAATTTGGGATTTTTTTTTGTTTGAAAGTCTTTCCAAATTAATTGCGTAACTTATACCTCTCTCGAGTAACTACTATTAATTTATATTAACCCGACCCGACAGACGTTGTTCTGCAAATCGGTCCAGCCGTTTGGTCCAACCCGTCTATCTTTTCATACAAACGCTCGTACGTGATTATGGCGTTGTAACAGATATTTCTTTGAAACTTTTGAACTAATAGGCACCTTGTCCACTATATCTAGGTTTCTATTAAAACGCGAAATCAAGATTTTAAGAAACAAATTCAGTACAAACCTCCAAAACTCAGCCTTTTTGCACAAATTTTTATATGAAGTTTGGGCGTTTATAATGTACTCATTAATTGCAACCGGAAAAAAATATTTGCATAGAAACCTTGCAAATATAATGGAATTTGTAAATGAAAAACTTTTTTTTCATAATAAGGCTAGGCTTACGAAAAAACACGTATTTCTTGGAACAAGTTTTATGAAATTTTCGCACACTATTTTTCTTTCAATGTTATCGCGTTCTTACTTGCTGACATTACGCTGGATGAAACAACAAGCTTTTTGGCCATGCTCGCGTTGACGTTCGTCGGACGGGGAAGGGCGCACTTAAGAGGAGTTCAGTGACATACACACGTTCAGCAGATATATATATACATATAAAGATATTATATACCTACATATTAGCTCATACAGATTCTTCTTGTCTCCCTTTCTAAAAGTTTTGAGATGTAGTGTGCTATTCTAGTTATAAGTATAGTCTATTACATATTTTACCTTTTTTAAATAAATTTATTGATTAATATTTTTTATGTATTCTATCAATATAATTTTCTTACATCCTCTTTGACGATATTTGCAGCACGCATTCTGTCAATGTTATGTCAAACGCCATAAGGTTACATCAAAAAATTGTATGGTGGTTAAGTATTCTTAAATTTTCCGCGAAATTTTCTTAATTTTTTCTTTCATAAGAACCTTCTCCTGACAATAACCAACACAACAAAAAGAATTAGCAAAATCGGTCCAGCCGGTCACGCGTGATGCCATGACCAAGGGAAATAGGGATTCATTTTTATATATATATAGATTAGAAATGTCTTAATCTAGTTAAGACAAAAGATCGAGCAGGTTAATACGTGGGCACTTAAAGAAACTTAAATTTGTGAAGCTTCTTTTTGTAGCTCAATTCTTTAAAAAAAAAGCTACACTAGGTATCATGGTGCTTTCCTTTGCGTTTTTTTTAGACTTTTTTATGAACTAAGTTCTATTATCAAGATTTCAAAGCCAAGTTGTTTGTCTATCGCGGGTTAAGAGATTTTGCTAGATTGTGACTGATCTGATCCAATCTTATCAAAAATATCCAGGTTTCGTTTAGATAGTCGTAAATACATGTACCGTCTTCTACGAAGTATATTATAATCATTAATAAAGTTATACTCACTTCCTATTTAAATAGAGAAAATGTAAAATTTTATATCTAACATTTTTTGTAATGTATAATGTAATAATTAGCAATAAATGCGAGAAAATTCTTGAATTCTGGCATGGGTTTGTGGAGCTTATTCTAATCCTTGATTCTCTGCTATGTCAAGTTTTAATGTTACTTATTAGACCAGTCAGTCAAGACAATTAATTCATAATAATTCCAAAAGTTTTCAAATTTTGATGTAAGGTCGGGAGTGGTATTAAAACAAACTATAAAATTTTGCAACCTTCTCTGCGGTCCGGAACATTGTTAAAAATAAGTTTTGGTCGTGAAAAAAATTCCAAAAGTTCTGCAAACTTGGGGAAGTTTTCGATATAATATTTCATATCACGTATAAAATTTGCAACCAACCTAAGTGTACGGAACATTTTTTGTTATTAAAAATTAATGTTTTTCTTTATTAAACTGAAGGAAAACGTTCCAAAAGTTCTGCAAATTTGACAGATATATCGAAAATAAAATAAATAACAAAAAATGTTCCGTACACTTAGGTTGGTTGCAAATTTTATACGTCATATGAAATATTATATCGAAAACTTCCCCAAGTTTGCAGAACTTTTGGAATTTTTTTCACGACCATACAGCAAAAATTAATTTAATTGCAATTTTAACAATGTTCCGGACTGCGGACAAGGTTGCAAAATGAGATTTATTGGGACGACAATAAATCTGTACCATTCACTTGACCGAAGTTTGAAAACTTTTGGAATTATTATCAAATTTTCGATTTCGAATGTCTATAATGACTGGCCTATATGTAGATTCAGAAACGAAACAGAGCTAAGTCTGACATTCCGTACTTCAAAAATGTATTGTAATTTGACAAACGAGAGCCACAGATCGCGCTAAGCACGTTTCTTTAGAAATTTCTGTAGCATTCTTCCGAGACAATTCCACCGCGACTGTGCTTTGATGTACTTTATTAATTTTAGCAAATTATATTTTCATATAACTGGTATCATTGGTGTGTCACGAGTATTTTCGTTATAATTATCACATACGTCATAATTCTGAATGCCAATGACCTTAGAGTACCGACGGTAAAGGTCAACTCCGATCAGCTAAAAAAAAATTTTTTATTTTTTAATGGTTGATGCACACATGAGCATAAAATAAAAATCTTGCGTAAGATACTTCGTAATATATAATCGCCCTTTTACGTGTTGCAACTTGTTTAATCTATTCCGTGATTATTGTGTACCGCCTTCGTGACTAAGGATGTATTTTGTGCACTGCAGATGTCCTGGGTTCGTTGTCAACAAATTGTTTGGAATTGACAGAACTAGGGCCTTAGTCAAGATGCTTTAACAGTAGTGTTTGTAGAAAGTCAAAAACTAAATTTGTTGAATGAAAACTTTTCGACACGAACTGTCATTTCCATACAAATTTAGTTTTCGACTTTCTACATACACTACTCTTAAGGCATCTTGACTAAGGCCCCTAATGACTTGAAGTCTAGCTTATGCCTATTTGGTTACGGAACTTCACTTTTGAGTTAAAAATAAAAACTAACTAAAACTTTTTACATTTTTATTCTATTCTTTGGTATACTAGGAATCAAATCCAAAGAACCAAGACAGACTTCCTATGTATTGAATAGTGAGTTTTATGATTCAAAGTTTAATTAAAAGTATTACTAAGAATTCATTACATTATGTAATGTAATAAATGCGTTTAACGTCCTTTAAAGTAGTTTTATTGCAATATGTATTATGCGTAAGTCAAAGAGATTTTTTCGACGTCAAAATATAGAATACCCATAATAAATGCCTAATTCAACTCCTTAAGCTGTCACGCATACAAATTCCATACAATATTACAGTATATTCCTTCCATATCGTTCGTACACTCGTTTAACAGAAATATATTTAAACGGAAGGTTTAAATATATTTCTGCATGGAAAGTGGAGAAACGCTACGTACGTATTTGTAACTAAATGAAAGCAGGAACATGTTACTTTAAAAAGAATTCGCGGAGAAATAAAATCGAACTATTAAAAACTGAAACCATAGTAATCTATAGACATGAGCAAAACTTTTCCAACATCCATATTCTAAAACTATCTCAAGTTATAATCTTGAGCGTCAAATATGTCAACTTCATACAGAAAAACTGGTTTGGCAGCTCTTGAAACTAGATTTAAGTTTCATTATCGTTTAACGAGCCTAATAGTAATTATACCTACTAAGAAACATGTCTCTCCTTAGAAATATACCTACCTCTCTAGAGCGCATGAGATACCGCACGAGTCTTCCGCGAAGTACTGCCAGGGTATTCTTATCCAACTCTGAGCTGCCTCCAGCCACCGATTGCACTAGCACTTGCCAACGGGACAGCGATGTCTCCAGTAGACGGATATCTTTTTTCTCAATCCTATAACAATTCGTATTATTTAAAAATAATCATAATGACGCACCACAAATATGTGGAACCAGCTGTCCATCGAATTATTTCCGAACCAATTCTATCCCTCCTAGCCTGGTAGTGAGAGTTCATGGGCGGAATAACTTAACTTCTAATAAGACTCCTGTCCGTTCTCTACAGCCGTGGTGCTACTACCCTATATCCTCAGATTGCATTTGTTCCTTTGATTATTTCCATGTACAATTAAAGGTTGCTACTCTTCTATTTATAGCAACAACGACTGCTCATTCTGGCGATTAAGTTTAATCATATAGGTAACACAATGTACACTTATGAACGTCAAAAAAAAAGAAATATATATGAAATGCTTCTAACTTTACATTTAGTGTCAGTTCTCAAATCAAGGGCGTAGAACGGAAGAGAAGAACTGGCAATAAACTCTCCGCCATTTTTTTTCCACAACATTTATAAGGAGCTGCAACCATTACACCATGTTCCACATGACATCTTAAGCGATTAATAATAATCATATAAATTAAAAACAATCACGTCCTCTATCAGCAGGAGGCATGGTGAAATAGGAGCACGCATTTACATTCTCGTGGGAACAACACGCAAGAAAGAAAGAAAAATGCAGTGATTGTAACATATTGTACCTAAACCTCCTTTGTTTGCAAGTTAAGCAATAAATAAAAATATATATATGTCTTAATTGTGTGGCATCTCCAAGTGACTTGTTTAAAGACTTATTACTATGTAACTATGTAACATACTTAGTATTTTAACATTATAATATATTACAGCACTTCTACTGCATAAGAATACTTTTTAATCATACAAACTTTAATGCAGATATCAAAAGCCTCGAGGATAGTTTACAAGCCAGCAAGTTTACTAGCAGATTGTAAACTCGCCCCGTGACATCAACACTACAAGATATATTAAGCTTCATATTAACGTTTTACTGTTTCAAGGGGTTTTTTTTGTTTTTACTACTCTTGTGATTCTTGATAATTTGTGCATGAACCACTCCATTATTATACTGCTTAATTGTTCTCACCTATCAGCCAATTGTATTTCAACATCCATGCCATCTTCCTTGAAATCTGGTAACTCTGAGTCATTCATAGTTTCTTCAGCATCGGAGAAAGTCATTACAGCATCTTTGTCTGTAATGGTATTTAAATGTATTAAGGAAGTTAAAAAAGGCAATCATTTTCATTTCATGAACAGTCTCTAGTCTGCTCGGTCAACATTTTTTTTCCAGGATTGATCCAGGACATGTTGAACACCTGTGTTCTTGTGTACACTACTATGCCATGGGGATGGTAAAAGTAACATATTAACTCAACTATATCAATAAATAAAAATCATCAACTTGTGATTGGCACAAATTATTTGGCAAGTCTAAATAACAGTGAAATAATATTCTATATCCTATTAAATAATACAATTAATTAGCGGTTAATGTTACCACTTCAATTATACATATATCTGTTTTAAAAGAAAGTGTGAAAATGAAAACATGTTTTAAAACTCACCTTTAGGTAACGGCTGAACAGTTTGGTCTGGCAATAAATGATATTGTTTTAACAATTGCCAGTGTTCCATTAAACTTTTTGCTGTTCTTGTTGAGTAGAAGATATGAGGGTTCTGTTCAAGAAGTTCTTGAAACTTCTCTGGAGCTGGATGAGAATTCTGAAAGTATTGTTAGGAAATTGAAATTCAACAAATTTAAATCAATCGATTTTTAATGTATGAAATATTATATATTATATTAGGTCCTTACATATGAAATTGGCGTTTTGTATGGGAGGAACAAAAAGTCGAATATTTTTAAATATAAAATATTTAATTAATCAAAGTATGAACCATTGTTTTCTATGCACTTTTGCCGTCTCATAGTAGTTCATTGATCCCTTTACTAAAAAAACCAGTCGGACGGGAATCAATAAAATCTGTGAAGGCGATTTGGACTGCCCGGCCCCATCAATGTTAAATTTTTTCCCTTGCAAGAAGTTGTCCAAATTTCGAAAAAAATGGTAATCTGTTGGAGCAAGGTCCGGGGGAGTACGGAGGATGTCTTAGACATTCCAATTGAAGCTCTTCTCATTTGGTAGCCGTCTGTTGTGCAGTGTGTGGTCTAGCGTTGTCGTGAAGTAGCAGTGGCCTGGAGCGATTGACCAGCCTAGGTTGTTTAGCCGCTAGCTTTTACATCATGGTTTGCAATTGCTGACAATAGACATCAGCCGTAATAGTCTGGCCAGATTTGAGAAAACTGCAATGAACAATACCGGCACTAGTCCACCAAACGCTTACAAGTAACTTTTTTGGGGTTCATTTTCGCTTGGGGCAGGATTTGGCTGGCTGGCCAGCATCCAACCATTGCGCTGAGCGCTTTCGATTATCGTAAAGAATCCATTTTTCATCACAGGTAATGATTCGGTTTAAAATACCTTCATTATTGTGCCGGTTCAGTAATATTACGCAGCAGTCGACGCGCGTTTGCCGGTTTGCTTCAGTCAATTCGTGAGGTACCCATCTTTCAAGCTTTTTAATCTTTCCAATTTGCTTCAAGTGAATTAAAACAGTTTTAACACTAACACCGCAGCCTGCAGCTAACTCGGACGTGGTTTGCGATGGATCCGCTTCCACAATAGCCTTCAATACTTCATTATCAATTTGGGTCTCAGGCCGTCCACGGGGCTTGTTCTGCAGGTCGAAATTTACAGAACGAAAACGTTGGAACCAAAAACGAACTGTGTTTTCTTTTGTAACATGACCGCCATACACATCATTCACCCTTCGAGTCGTTTCCGCAGCACTAGTGCCACGGCGGAACTCGTACTCGTAAATAATGCGATACTTTAAGTTTTCCATTTTGTAAAATGAGTGACGCAAACAGAAAAAAACAAATGAATGACGGTCATCGAAGCACAAATACATGAGTAAATAGCTGTACAAATTTGAATTTGGAATTCCTTATCAAAGAGGAGAACATCGTGATTAAAGTGGCCAGTACGAAATACGCCAATTTCATATGTAAGGACCTAATATAAATAAGTTTTTTACTTTAAGGTGTTTCATTGGATAGACAGCACATTCTGCTACAAACAGTTTGCATATATTCTATGTTGCATACATTATTGTGTTTTAATGCATTTAATAATATGCAAAAAAATTACTTATATATATACAAAAAAGGCACAAAGTAGATAAACGCTTACACTGGCAATTGTTCCTAGCAAATCCTCCTCAGCAGTTGAATAGAGAGCCTGCTGTTGCACTGCTGCCACAAGATCAGGGTGCAAGTTTCTCATAGCAGCCACAGCAACTCTTGAGATCTCTGCATTGTACAGCAAAGCATACCAACGCGATTGAAGCTCTGCCACAGTAAAGCGGCAAGAAAACTTTACTCCACGGTGAACCATGCGCAAGTCATTAGTCTAAAGAAATAAAATATTACTTTAACATAATTGCACTGGGTACAGACAAATTACCAGCTGCATGCCTTGCAGGCAACATTTGATAGTTACAGTATCAAATGTTAGTACAAATAATATTTTACTTTTTACTTTACCTGTTGGACTCCCAGTATTAACGCTAAATCATCAGTTGGTTTCCATCTCCCTAAATCCTTTGTGGATAATTGGCTAAGTTGACCCTTGCGACGCGACTTACGAGCTACACTGCCAGGAATCAGTTTATTGGCGGTCTTACGGCGCTCAGGCAAAGAAATTATGGGAGTTGATGGAGTAACCAAGGGAAACTCGGGCAACTGGCTTGTATATGACTGAGTACGGATCCTTTTCTCTCCCTTTCCCAAAGAAGCACCCGGTAGACCCAAACTGTATTCAACAAGTTCATCATCGAAACGTCTTCGTTTTATTGATCTTGACGAACTAAAATAATAAAATGGTTAGGTTAAACGAATTTGAGAATTAGATGAGGATACCATTTAAGTTATAAACTATATAGTTTACCTGCGCCGCTTGGTATTGTCGTGAATAGGTTCGAATTGTGAAGGAGTACTACTGCCAGGATAGTCATTACTATCAGATGCATTTGATGGGGTAGCTGGGAAATCCATAACGCAAATCAATTTACAAAAACATTAATGAACCAACGAGAAGATTCATAATAGAAGAACACAAATTAAAAATTAATTTTGGTGGCGTTTAATGGTTTTGATCTGCATAAGTTATAAAATAGTAACTTGTATTTGCTAATTGCTTGTATGGTAATTATAATTAATATTTATACACGATACAGTAACAGTATACGCATTACTGATTAGTGATTACATACAGAATAACAGAATACAGATTATTCAAACTTCAAAGTCGAAGCTATGACAGAACACAGATCAAGTAGAGGATTACAGAATATATATTAAATAAATTTAAAACTGATTAAAATGACTTTCCAGTTTTCGCACTTAAATATACTTTTTTAAAGGGAGCACCGCGTATGCACACCTACTCCCATCTCACCTACAGCCTACTCACACTCAAAAGTTATAAAGACCAGATATTTCTCTTACTTTATTTATAATTGAAATCAGATTAAGAAAATATTTCCTTAGTTCCTGCCCTTAGTAGGTAAGTAAAAATAATTTAAAATCGTGATTTTCTTGTTTTTTTGAAGTAAAACTTCTTAGTGCGTGACTAGGGAGTAACTCAGATTGTTTTTCTGACGGTAGTAACGCTTAAACGTAGTTTCCGCTATATAAAATAATACGATAGCGCGTTTTATAAGTCCGTCAGCGCCATCTAGTGGTGCATTATTTGAACTGATTTAAGTCAGTTTCTTGGTTTAGGATAATATCATTCATTAGTTTTATTTGATACTGATTCTTGTAATTATGTTATTATTAGTATATTTATATTTAAAATGAAAATCCATACTAGTAACATAAAAATTAAAATTCCACTAAAGAGGGAAAGTTCCCATCCTAGCTTGCTTTTCTTTTGTTATACATAGTAGTAGGCCAGTTTTTTTTACCATTTTGGAAGAAGTAAATTAATACCAAATTATTATCTTAAAAATCGGGCCTATTTTATATAAAAACTAGCAGACTCGGCCGCGCGTTGCTGTGGCTAAGGTTTTTGTAATATTACATAGTAGTAAACTATTCAAGGGAAACGATAGGAGAACTATTGTGAAACGTTGGTACTATTAACACAGCGCCATCTGTTAGAATTGTATCAAATAATAAACTAATAGTTTGCAATACAATATTATTGCTGGTATAAATTGAGATGTAAGCTATCCTATCTTTTAAGTTAGATCAAACTGCACACGGTGAGCAAATTTGATTGATATCGGTTCCGTAGTTTAGGAGTCCATAACGGACAAATAACGTGACACGTAATTTATATACATATATTAAGATAACACAGTTGTTATACAACTGTGTTTGAGAATAGAAAAGTGAATAAAATAATTCAACAGTTTAAATTGCAAAGTTTTTTGAAAATCTCTAAATATACTTATTGATTTATTACTTTTAAAATAAGTAAATTAATAATAAATTTTCTGACGATTGCGACATTCTATATATAATATTCAATAACAAAATTATATTGACATGTGCTGATCTAACCTTCGTATTTGAATAATCTTTGTAAACATGAATAATAATTAATATAATTAAATTATAATATGATATTTATTATTTAAGTTAATATTTAATCATTTCAGTGATATATGCCGTCAACGCCAAAGAAGTTTTACTTCAATCGCGCGTAAAGGTTACACGCACACACTTTTTTTGTATTTGTCAATGCTAAATGAACTCTTTAGTCGATTCGTAATTATAATTTGTGAATTACTGCACTCATTATAAATATTAAAATGTGACGAGAGTATTACATTGAACTCGTTCGCTCAGTTTATTATCAGAAAACTATCAAGTTCATTATCAAAAAAATATCAGAATCTTATTATACATTATGGCTGGTAGAAAATATAAAATCGAAACTGAGAAACGGAAATTACAGGTAGACCGAGAAAAATAAATAAATAAATGTGCAAAAATTTAATATTTTTTCAAATTAGAACATAAGAACGAGAGACAGTACAGTGGTTGAGACAAACTCACATTGCCATAAGCGTGACCTAACGCCTAACGAATTTATATGGAAATGGTCACGTGACAAGGCGTGAACTTATGTCTAATTGGACCCTGTGCTACAGGCCTACGAGTTTTCAGTTGTCTGTGACTAGTGACTAGTGACTACCATCATCCGAAATTCACATGTATGAAATTTAAAATTTCATTCAGAATCAGAATTTCTGAATTCTGATTAGGTTTTCGTGATTTGAATTATTTTTACTATAATATAAAAAAATAAATGAATATTTAAACGTATATTCATTTTAATTAATTCTCTAAGGTTTGAGATTTTTTTATAACTAATTTGTGCAAGAACCAAGATGAGTTACAGGGATTCCGTAAGTATTATTTATAGAATTCTCACTTTTCTTGATGCTTTCTTGAAATGTTGAATTAATTATAGATTTTTTAAGACCAGAATCTATTTATATAGCCATTGCTTCAAGGTCGACATTATGAGCCATTTAAAGAAGGCATATCATTTTTCTGCGACGTAATTGATACTTCGTTTGTTAATTAAATATATTTTTGAGTTGTTCAATTTATTTCCACTATAATATTACAATGCTATGTGCTTAGATTTCTTTCTATATAAAGGATAATTAAAAACATAATAGTGTGCAAAATATGTATTTCATCAAATACATTATTAATGCACTTTGTTAGTCACATTAATATTTGGTAAAATTATTACATTTATTGGCAGTTTTCACTATACCCGAGATATCATACATACAGTACTTCTAAAGACCTGCGTGTAGGATCTCATCTAAGAAGTCCAACGGTATTTATTACAGAGTATTTTAATAATATGTGTATTGTTTTTCTCTCTACCTTAAAATGATTTATAATTAAAACTCAATAATAGTAAATATACTAACAAACTGGTGTTCAATGATAGTTATTGTAAATTATTTTATTTCATATAACAAATCTTTGAGTGATATATTATTTTAGTCATAGAAGTTTTGTAGTTGTCTTATGAATGATAATTATACAACATTACATGTCATCAACAGATGTATGGGGGATCCCAATCATCTGTCTTGAGCTCCTTATCAACATACAGATCTAGTGGCTTGGATGGGGTTTCCTACACACCCACACCTGATTTAAATGAAGTGTATCCAGGATTGTTTGTTGGAGATGCGTGAGTTTAATTTGTATTTATTGTTATTAATCCAAACAGACTTTTTGATTTGTGATACTTTGAAATAGATAGTAATAGTAAATTAACTTATAAAGGTAGAAGAAAGAAAAAGTTAACCTCATTTATAAGCAATATCTGAAATTATAAAAATATTTGCGAGTTGTTGTTAATGCCCATTATATTATGTACTTTTTACAAAAACTTAGTTTTTCTGGTATGTCTAGGGTGGCTGCAAAAGACAAAGCATTTTTAAGGCGAATGGGTATTAACTATGTATTAAATACTGCTGAAGGCAAGCGCTACACACAAGTAGACACAGATCATTTGTATTATCGAGATTGTCCTGGTCTGCGCTATAAAGGCTTTCAACTTATGGATCTTCCATCTACTGATATATCAAAGTACTTTCATATTGCTGCAAATTTTATTGATGAAGGAGTATCCAGAGGGGGTGAGTAAATATTACTGTTGTAATTTAAATAATTAAAATTGTATTTTTAATAATCTATGAATAAAACTCAAATAGGTCTGGAACTGTTGAAGCCTCTTCAACAGTTCACTTTTTTGTTTGGTATGTTGAAACATATTTAATAAATTTATTTTTTTATTGATCTGTGAGATTCTTATTTATATATTTAAATAGCATTTTATTTATATGTATTGGTAATTTAAGAGCAATAATGAAAATTGTTTAATTGAAGGTCGTGTGTTGGTACATTGCTTTATGGGAGTGTCACGCTCAGCCACATGTGCTCTTGCTTTCCTCATGATCAAGAGAGGTATGACTTTGGCCGAAGCTTTAGCTTTGGTTCGTTCTCGTCGTGATATTCATCCCAATGAAGGGTTCATTCGTCAATTGAGGGACCTTGACAGGGAATTGCGTGTATGTAGAATTCGCTGACAGCATACCCCACTTGAACCAGTTCTCAGTCTACCATACAACTTTAGCTCACAACATCTTCGTGTACGCAGCTTAGACAGAACTTATCGAAGTCGCTATCATTGATAATGAGACAGAGAACAATAGTTTGTGACAACTGTTTGAACTTTAAAAAAAATTAGTACCATAGTTTTAAGAACTAACACAGAATGTAGATAGGATAGCAATGTGTTTATGTTTACGAAAGTAGGTATAGACTAAAGAGTATAATTTTTTATCCATCCAATCAAATTGACTTGGTGGGTTATTGTGGGAATTTTAGGAAAGTTGAAAAAGTTCTTTATCACTTTGAAAAATAAATTGTTGATACCATACAAACTTGTACTAACAAGTCATTTGTAAAACAGTACTTAATTAGCCAAAAATTAAATTGATATGTTACAACGTTTATAAAATACATAGTATTCTATTCAACTATAGTACAATTGCCTAGCCTTAAATGTAAAAGAGGATAGTATTTTCACAATAATATAATTGTTATTTAATTAATGAAATAAATACAATACAACAGAAATCCATTAAGTGGACTATCCATTTATTTGTATATATTAAGTGTATAGTCCACTTAATGGATTTCTTTTTAAAATTAATTAATAATTCAATCATGTAGACTACATGATGTAGTGTAAGAATTTAAAGACTGGCATTAATGATTGTGGCTTGAAAAGATCTAGGATGATTTATGCTTTTTAGAAATATGCACTGTTGAGATAGCATGAATGTCATTGCCCTTTAAACATTATGTCAAGGTGTAAAATTGGGCATGTAGCCAACATGACATCATTATATTTTGTGAAGATACCGTTCTTGAAATTATTCTATTTTTAAATTAGATTTCACTGAAATAAATATAAGTGGTTAGTTAGTAACTTATATTTGTTCTATTTAAGTAACATGATTGATTGTTAGAATAAACAAAACTAATAATAAAATGTATTTAATAAATTATATTGATAAATTCCATTTCCATAGGAAAAGATGAATCTTAAAATGGATGTTATTTATTTTTTTAATTGTTAACATTGTGATATTTCACATAATGTATTAGAATAATAGAATTTTCTGTATTACTAGTAATTTATGCTTTTATTTATTTAGACTTGCTAGAAAATATCTGAAATGTTGATCAACAACTTATCTTTTGTATAGTTTTATAGATCTATACTAGTTTGAGCACTAATTAAGTTAGGTACACAACCTTCTATATCCATAAAGGATACAAAATTCTTTTTAACATAAAAAAAACTCTGTGATAAACCACCAAAAATATTTTAGAAAACTAGCTAGATGTTATTTAAATAATCACCAGTTGTAAACGGACTAGTCTTATTTTAAACAATACATATATAATATATTGATATGTTACCAGTAACTTAACCATTTATTTAACAGTATATATTTATATTATGTAAGTATATGTATATTTACATTATGAAATATATAAAAAATTATAAAACACAATGCTTTAGGAGCTAAGCTAAGGATGTTCATGCATTAAATTATTACAATTACTAGTAACTTCATGAAAATTATGTATATATGTTGTTACTCTACAGGTGGCAAAGAATTTAGTGCAGAATATTAATAATAAATTAGATTGTTTTTAATAACCCTGTATAATAATTAGGATCCTTTCAATATATATTTATACTGTGTGCTTTTAAAAGATTGTTATGATGTATTAAATTTTAATTGAATAAAAATAGAAATAATCTGTTTTTTTATAATTACCAAGTAATACTATCTATATATAGTATAAGCCAGACTATCTCTTGACTAATTTAAACTTCCTAAATTTAATATTGTCAATATTAAACACTTGTTTCTAGGTTATAAATTACAATAAATGCTTAGTCAACATAAGTGGAATACTAGAGAAAACTATATTGCTGACCCAATCTTAATATATACAAAATTAATTTACTATTAAATAACCTTCGGAAAGGAAATTTGTAAAATAAAATATTCTTAAATTGCATGGACCCATGACATGTCTGAATTTTGCTAAGGTAGAAGTTTTTCGACACCAGTGCTGTTTAATACAAATTACATGTATAAAAACCTAAGAAAAAACTTGGCAGTCAAAGCCTTTACTTATCAACAGTATTTATTTTGAAATTCTATATCCTACTTACACCATATTTATTACTAAATTATACATACTAATAATATAAAAGAGCTATATACTTATAAATAGGGTCGATTCATTTCTGTCTTCTTGGCTTTCTTGTCTCTAGATCTAGGGAACCAACGATGTTGAGTTGTCAGAGTTAACGAGGATAATTGCTGCCTTGCAAATTCTGGTTTCATTTCTTTAAAAACCCGCTTAACCTCGGAATAATCAGACATTCGAAGAACTGACTTATCTTCAATACTTTCTTCCGGTAAAGGTTTGGAAAATTCATACGGAAACTCTTGGTCTTTGTGTAATGCTACTATTGTTGATCCATCGTCAGTCATCACAATTTTAGCGTAAAATCTAGTAAGTAATTGTGACGGATGAACACATGACGGCCTTAATAACCTTAACATTTTAAATAATATAAGAAATAAGAATACAATTACAATGTCTTGACAATTTCGTAATCAGTATTCAGTAGTAGGGACTAGTCACTAGGGATGCTCGATGATCATCGATGTTGAAAGCGAAAACATCGATGTTGCTATAACAAAAATCGAACATCGATGTTGGGCTTTCTATAATGACATCGATGTTTTTCTAACATCGATCATCCCCAATCCGTAGTCTTTGTACTCTGTAAGGAATAAAAGCTAAAAAGTAAAAACACGGAAGGAATAACGTAGATTTGTGGATACAAAATATACATAAAAATTCAAATACAGATACTTTAAATATTTTTCAATAATAGCAATGACAGCGTTCACTACCGTGGGGCTTAGTCAAGGTGCCTTAACAGTAGTAATAGTAGGCAGTCGAAAACTAAATTTGTATGAAAATTTGTTGACACGAACTGTCATTTTCATACAAATTAAGTTTAAGCATCTTGGCTATGCCCCCGTGCTCTTGAGCCTTCCGTCTCAGAACTGTCAGACCTACGAATGCTGAAGGATATGTTGATCCTTTATTTTCTAACGCCTCATGCTATGCATTCTACATATAAATCAATACTCACCAATATAAATAATAAATAGTACAATAATTAAATATTCTGCGTAACCTGTCATCGATTCCATAAACTCTGGGCAAAAAACACCTACCCATCTAGGAGCAGTCATGCATACTATCAAACTCCAGAATTATGCAGTATTCTTATTATGCAACGGTTCTTTGAGGATCAAACTATGGATTAATATCACGCTCATGCAAATTTGACAAAATTTGTGATTAACTGTATATTTGGTTATCTTATAGTGTATATTTTTAAGTATTAAGTTTATGTTTAGTTTTTTTTTCTTGTACCACGGAAAAGTCTAGTCACCCGCAATACAGAAATGTCCTAGTTTTAAAACCAGCGTCTGTAAAATAATACAATAATAGATCAAAGTAATGATATGTTCTTAGTTGACAAATTCTGGTTAAAATAGTGCCAATATTATTTTTTTGCAGTAATATTGTCTAATACAGTGGTAATCCATCGCTTGTTTTAATTTATTTGGTAGAAACATGACGGGTAAACTTCAGACGGCAAATCAAACTGGAGTTTTTGACATACGAGAAACCCACTTAGCGCTAAATCTCGAATATAATTTACGTTTATTTTCATTTTAAAGGGGCGTTCCCACGAGGCGTTAATCACGACAGTCAACCACGCTTTCGTGAAATACACTTCTGTGTGAACGCATAGGCGTTAAACTTGCTTTCGTGAGGAACGGCGCACGACACAAGCGTGGATAGATCAAACGTGTTTGATTTTCAGTCGTGATATACCGTTCGTGAAGCCAAGATGTCGTCACAACAACGTGGAATTAAGTTTAACGACAGTGAAACTACGCGTTTTTTGGAGTTATATTCTATGGAAAAGGTGTTATATGATCCAAGTTTGGAGGAATACCGTGATAGAGATTTACGTGCCGCCGCAGCTAAGAGAATAAGTCATGAATTAAATATTCCTGGATTTGGAACTTAAAACAGCACAACTTTCAACAACCAGATCATTCATGATCGATGTTTCGATAGTGACTAAGTCGAAACCAGTGTTGCCAACTTAATTTTAACGAACCCACCAATTTTGCCGTCGCAACCCACCAGAAAACCACTAAAATCCACACTTACTAATATTATAAATGTAAGTGTGTTTGTTTATTTATCCTTTTTTCACGCCCAAAGCCCAAAGGAAATATAGGATCGATGTGATTTTTATGTCCGCAGATAGGAGGAGGTTAGGCAGGCAGCCCGCGAGCACTATTTTTTTGTTTTTACCGCGGGAAACACATGTTTTACTGAAGTAAATAGTAGTCTATGTCACTCTTTTCTTTAGATGGATAGCATACATCTAGTATATATTTTTTGACAATAAAAGAACAATATTGTAAATTGAATTATAAAATTAGTTTATTTTCATTACAAAAAAACTTATAGAAGACATACAAAATCGTTAAAAATCATCTTTTCTAATCGATTTTAAGTACACTTCTTTCGTTCCTATTTTCTGGACTACATAATTTGGCAAGATGTAATTATTGCAACACTTTCCTTCGCGTTGTAAACCTCCGCGAATTGTCATAATAGATGACAGTAGATCTAGCTTCACTCGGTTTCTGTGTTTTGTCTTCACGATATTCATCATGCTGAATAATCGCTCTACTTCAGCATTAGAGTGCGGTAAAACTAATAAAGATATAGCAAACGTGGCTAAATCTTCAAATCGGTTTTCTCCTGCAATGTCTTCGAAATCCACCACATCGTACCAAAATTCCAGCCGCCACCAGCTGTACTTTCTACCTCTTCCAGCCAGTCCATTAATTGGGAGTCCCGTAACCAACAATCCCGGAACTTTTGCGTATATTGCGGTTTTGGCATTTTGTTTTAAAAATAAACTAAACATTGGCAAACAAACAAGGTTATGGGAATGTTCTATCTTATAATAAATCACAACCCATATTTAACTTAGTTAATTGGTTTATTCTTCACAAAACAAGAGTAATTAATTTATATTCTTATAGAAAAGCTCATGGAAAAAAGTACATCTCTCACTCGTCTAAAGTCTGTCTTGAGTGACGTTCGTTTTCTTTTTCTTCTTAACGACCGGTATTTATGTTGCCACATACATCAAAATATTAAAGAAAATACTACACAAACGCTACACCGTCGCTCCGATGCATAGCATAACCAAAACTACTAAGTATCTGTGTTATGTATTTCTATTTTTGTGCATGCATACGAAACGAACACATACAAATCTCATTAATTCAAATCAAATTTGACCCATTAGTCATAGGAATAAAGTCCATAATCAAAATAATTTAAGAAATTGATAAACTTGTTTCGGGAAATTCCCGAAAATAACGAACGTAATTTTACACAGTTGCCTACATAATGACAAAATATTCCTTTATAAGTTAAACGTTTTCGTCTTTTCCTGTAAAGATATCAATCGTGCTAGTGGTTAAATGTCGTAGCATACCACTGAATGAAACAAACTAAACCACTAGAAAAATCCACTAGCCACTAAAACCAAAATTCGCCCGCTAAAACGTATATCTACACCACCAGATCTAGTGGAATATCCACTAAGATGGCAACACTGGTCGAAACACGAAGCGTGAACGGCACGAAATCCCCCAACCATGTGAACGTTTCATCAATTCACACCTTCGTGAGTGTCACGAACGACAGTTGACTAGCGTAGTTGACTGTCGTGATTAACGCTCCGTGGGAACGCCCCATAAGGTATCAAATATTTCACTAATTATTCTTTAAGATAATCTGTGACTATTATGTCAAATCTCAATACTAGTGTCAGTTGTCATTTTCTGAATTCTGAAATGTCTTCTGCGCAGTTGTCTGTTGTTTGTAATGTCAGAAGCGGTTGCGTCTTCTTGTTCCTTCTATGATAATACTTCAGCTCCAGTGTCTTCTTACACTGTTTTAAAAAATTAAGAGTCATTTATGACGTACTTGGAAATTGGGAATTGGAACGATGGATGACAAAGAGGAGCTTCATCTAACCTCACAAGAGCTGCAAGTGTTATCAGAGCTTGACAGGTGCCGCCTTTAAATACTGTTTTGTTTGTCCTTACTAGACTAAACAGAGCTTTATAAAACGGTCCCTCTTTTAATTTTATATCTTGAATAATAATTTATATTTGTTTTTTTATTATAAGTCTCAGAGTAATATACATCTATGCAATTTCTTTAATGATAGCCATTGCAGGAATTGTACATTTAAAACAAATAGTAATAAATAAAAAAAAATACATATATGTGATGTAATAAATATTTGAGACTACAGTTTTACATATGAAGAGCAATTCGAATTTTATTATATTGATTAAAGATCACATGATCTATCAGACATTGTTCTTATTATTAAATTTATGTTTTCAGCCGCCAGTTTGGATTTTTAAAATTACGTGGCAATGAACATGGCAGAACTCGATCTCTTGTTCTTAAGGCTGTCAAATATTTGGAGGGAATGTTGGTACAAGTTAAGGTAATATAAATCTTAATAAAATCTAGAAATGTTTTGAACACAGACATCCTGGCTTAACTTCTAGGGTTAGAGAAAAATTTATATTGGTTTGATGCAGGGAAACCGAAAACTGGTGCAATGATATGTCTGCTGGCTGCCCCAAACTTAACAGTGTGGTATCAGCATTACACTTTATTCTAATTATGTATTACATATTTTATAATTATTACCTTGATTGACTTATGTCAATTTAAAAAATATTTAATGCATCTAGATTTTACATGATCTCTTATGAACTAAATTTATAGGCATGCTCAAGAGTGCACCTTGGTGTCAGAAGAACAAACCAAGAAATCAGCTAGGTTTATTTATTTATAGCCGCACTAACAAGGTAAAGGCAAACAAGGGATAAGAAAGAAAAGAAACAAGTTATACAAATTAGAACTAATGTGTGAACTTGAATATAGGTGCGGACGGTGTACATAAACATAATACTTATAATATAATGGTTATAGGTTTAATTATAAATTTTTAAGTCACAGCTTTTAACATCACAATTCATTTTGAGAAATTATTATTGTCTAAAAATTAAGGCCTTCATTATACATGCGATTTGTTTTTTTTTTAACAAGTCTATGAGATTTTGTATTTTTGAAATGCGGAATTTCATGAAGTAATAATATGTATTATTAATAAGTAAGCATGTTTAATAAAAGTTAATCAATCTGGTTTTTTCGCATATTAAACTCTCAATGTATAAAGTGCAAATAAAATAGTTATTATTGTTTTGATTTACATTGACTAAGGATTCTGTATATGCTAACAATGTTTTGTCTCTGTTTTAGGAAGAAGAAAGAGCATGTTCACCAGGTGCCAGAAGAGATATTTGTATAGATCCAAAAACATATTGTAAGTTAGGACATTTCCATCTCCTTCTTGAAGACTATGCAAAAGGTAAATCTACATATTTTATTCCCTGCATAAAATTTTCATTATTTTATTTAAAGGACCATATAGATATGTAATCAAAATTTCGTAAATATGCATTTGAAAAGTTGTAGCACAAGTAATTTTTTATTAATCTTTCGTCTGTTAAGAAAAGCTTTTTGCCATTTTTATAAAATACTAACATACAATATAATGTATATGTTAACGTAAAATTGTAAACACCGTTAGATTGTAATCTATCTCGCGAGATTATAAACTGTCGAAAGATTGTGAACTAAGCGTACTGCTTACAATTTAACGTATTATTATTCGGTAGATTGTAATCTATCGAAGTGAAACCGTCAAATTGTGAAACGGCCATTTTCTACTTTTCTATTTGTTATAAGAGATGTGACATTCTTGTTTTCTATTGGTTATAAGTGATGTGACATTTTCGGTCAATTAATCCAATCGATTATTTCCTCATTTGTTAATTTTAAAGTTAAACCTAATTTAACCATTACTTGTCAAATGTATATACATTACATTAACTTCATGTTTCAATTAGTGTAGGGTTCCGAAAATTTTGAAATTATTCAAAAATAATCTATTTTTTAAAAGTGTAAATCGATTTTTGTATTCAATTTCGAGTTTCAGTTGAACAGTTATTTTAAAAAAATATTAATATTCTAACCTAACCTAACCAAATAATAATACATTTTTTGGACAGCTCCGGCGCTACGGGAAATTCAGCCCCCACCCGCTGTAACAAAGCACAGGCATTATGCAAGCGACCAAAAACCCAAAGCTGCGGAGGCTTGAATAAATTGTCTGTGCTTTGGTACGCAAGGGTGGAGGGGTACTCTTCCTCCGCGCCTCCGATATTTTATATACACTCTAGGGGTAGGGCAGATAAGACCACGTGGATAGTGGGGTGCTCTGATTCGGATTTGGGTACTTTTTGAATAATTTCAAAATTTTCGGAACCCCACACTAATTGAAACATGAAGTTAATGTAATGTATGTACATTTGACAAGTAATGGTTAATATAGGTTTAACTTTAAAACTAACAAATGAGGAAATAATCGATTCGATTAGGCTCAACTTTAAAATTAACAAATGAGGAAATAATCTATTGGATTAATTGACCGAAAATGTCACATCACTTATAACCAATAGAAAACGAGAATGTCACATCTCTTATAACCAATAGAAAACGAGAAGGTCACATCTCTTATAACCAATAGAAAAGTAGAAAATGGCCGTTTCACAATTTGACGGTTTCACTTCGATAGATTACAATCTACCGAATAATAATACGTTAAATTGTAAGCAGTTCGTTGAGGTTCACAATCTTTCACAGTTTACAATCTCGCGAGATAAATTACAATCTAACGGTGTTTACAATTTTACGGTGACATATACATAACATACATAATGAGCAGTGTTGGCCTAGTGGCTTCAGCGTGCGACTCGCATCCCTGAGGTCGTAGGTTCGATGCCCGGCTGTGCACCAATGGACTTTCTTTCTATGTGCGCATTTAACATTCGCTCAAACGGTGAAAGAAAACATCGTGAGGAAACCGACATGTCTTAGACCCAAAAAGTCGACGGCGTGTGTTAGGCACTGGAGGCTGATCACCTACTTGCCTATTAGATTTAAAAATGATCATGGAACAGATTCAAATCTGAGGCCAAGACCTAAAGAGGTTGTAGCGCCACTGATTTATTTTATTTTTACATAATGTATACACACAAATTGCAATATCCTGTATATTATTATTATTATTTATCTCCTACTACCTGCACCACTAGTCTGTAACTCCCAATATCGATTGTGATCCCGCCTTCAATACTGAGTTAATGTACCGCGAGATTTAAACATTCCGCTACGTATATTCAGACAACTAAGTCGAAATTGCATACAAACGTCGGGATTGAATTCGCTATTGGAAGTTATAGGTAACCAAAATTGACAAGTTGGTAACCAAAGTTAGCGTAGGAAGGAAGAAAAAACTATTACAGTAAACAATTACTACTTTAAATCACCTATGTATATTTATTCCATCTTCTAATTTTCTAAATTATATATATCAGAGCAATGGCAAAATATAGCAATAGATTCTGTTCTAGAAACATGTTGACCATTGTATACCGAAACATCTCGCTTTTCCTCTTGCCTACTAAATTGTGTATATATTGAATATGTACTGATTTTTACAGCTATGTCAGCTTATCAGAAGTTTTACGCGTTGGAACAGGACAACTGGAAGGATCCCCTGTTTCTATATGGACTAGGGCTCTGTTACTACCATTATAATGCATTTGATTGGTAAGTAATAAAATCTTTTTAACAGTTGTATTTGAAGACTGTTATACTTTTAGTGCTATACAATTTGTTATATAGACATTATATACATTAATATCTATTATGAAAATAATAGATTTGATTGTTTGTTTGCATTTATTCAATGCAAAACTGCAAAACTGTTTTGAAAAAAATCTCTCATAAGTAGAACCCTATGTTATCCCTGATGAATGTAGGCTATGGAATAAAAAGGAGGGTATGAAATTACGATATTGTGACCCAAGGTGTGGTGAAGACCATTAAAAATCTAAATCGCGTACGCTGCGGTAACTATTGACAATAGAGAAAAGTCATGTACTACAGTTTCATAGAAGACATCTGCAATATTTGCAAAAAAGTCTGCGATACCATGTCTAACAAAAAAAAAAAAATGTTTTTTGTCTAAGTCTATGTAACGAGAAAAGCTTTATTACATAAGGCTATAGAACATCTTGCTACGATCGAATTAAAGGGGGTGGAACGGCAGAGGGCCCGTTCAAGTATTACGTAAGCACTATACTCTTTGATTTTTAATTTTTATATTTGGTGATTACGGCAACAGTAATTATTTACTTTTTTACACGTCATATTACCCACACATTGTCTATGCTTAAAAACGAAATGCATTTTCGAAGATTCCTACAAAAAATTATTACGTTTAGGTACTATTATTTGTTGATCTTTGCTTACTTTTGCTGACAAGAATGGTAGGGGGGGATAAATTGCAGAGCACATCTAGCAAATGGCAAGAAGATTAATTAATTGGCTCTACAATTATAGAGAATATCCTGAATCATTAGAGCAGTGTTGGTTGCTCGTTCGTGACTCAACTATGAGGTCGTAGGTTTGAACCCCGGCTGTGCACTAATGGACTTTTTTGTCTGTGTGTAACACTTGTACGGTGAAGGAAAACAACAACTCAAAAAGCCGACGGCGTGTGTTAGTCACATATGGCAGATCCCCTTCTCGCCTATTCGTCGATTAGAATTATTCTAGAAATCCTTCCAATTCCAGAACTGCTAGAAAGCCCTTCAATTCCAGTACGACTGGTTCCCCGCGTTTTGCATCCAATGCCTTCCCTCCATCCTCACCAGAACTTTGTTCACCTAGAGGGAGGCAGTCGAACGCTTCGCCGTCTGATCATCGGCCTCCATTTCCGGACTTTCGCCCCATCGGCCATCCGTTCTTCGTGAAATGTGCCCCGCCTAGTGTTAAGCTTATATAGGTATGTTAACTAAAGCTGGCGGCTTCAACACATTTACACTTTGTGCTTGTGTAGTGTCTGTGAATAAGCGCGAGACGTGATGTCAAACTGAAATACAATCATAAATACATCATGAATAGACTGTCCGTCGTGTATGAGTGGACTAAACTGTATAGCATGGCAAAAAAATCATATTTTGAAACATACTGTATGTGAAATTGCATTAGTGTGAGTACTGTGAACCCGCCAGCTTTCGATAACCGACCTATACAATACATACACCCTTTTGCTATGTCAGTGACTTTAGTTCTTCTACGGATGTCTTTTATTATATTTATTATAGCTCTCTCCATAGCTCGTTGAGCGATGCGGAGCTGTACCAAAAGTAAAATACCAAGTCTCAGAACTCGTCTTTTAGAAAAAACAAATGACCACGAAACTGATACAGAAATCTGAGCCGAAGACCAAGGGTTGACTTGTAGGGCCACTGTTTTTATATATCCTAAATCAGTCTTACCCTGTTTTATAGCGCATGTTCATTTGCATCTTTCTGTAAGTTTTTTTTTTGTTTCCCTGCCTCGTAATGACACCAACTTTTGTTATATTATCAATGACACAATGTTTATTACCAATTCTTATCGTCCGTTTTACGCCCTTGATTTGAGAACTGGCAATAAACAAAAGTTTTAAAGTATTATTTACGTTACCTATATGAATTCATGATATTTTGATTTTTATTTAAAAAAAACTGATTTAGTTTTTTCTATGATCATATTTGTTTATAATTAAATGCGTTTTCTGAAGAGGCTTTTTAACTATTGGAAGACTCGATCACCAAAACGTTCTATTGACTTTTGTTACTGTTTTTTTTTTAACTTTTTTTGTGTAAATGTTACTTAATTCATACGAATAATATGTTGTGATTAACATTCGCAAACAATTCTAGTGTCACATCGTTTGTATATAAACTCCTCTGAACTCACTTGACCGATTTTATGTAATCGTTTATTCGGTAGGTTTATTTATACCCTTAAGTTATGACACCACCTCATTTTATGATTTCGCATTAAATATATATGTTATATAAATTTTATAGCGTTGTTAGTACTGTAATGATTTTTATATGGCAAAAAGTTTCCACTTCAACGCCTATGTCCGTGTGATTTTCTATTTCTTATACAAATGACAAAAACAAAAAATATTTTTTTTGTATTTAATGGTCATTAAATGTACAATGTACTTAATATATATGTTTAGTCGACTTAAATTACCCGAAGAGTCGGATTTTAATTCGACTAGTAAGTTTTACTGTATATATTATAATTATTAAATATATAATAATTTTATTATTATTATTATTAAATGTACAATGTACTTAATATATATTTTTAGTCGACTTAAATTACCCGAAGAGTCGGATTTTAATTCGACTAGTAAGTTTTACTGTATATATTATAATTATTAAATATATAATAATTTTATTATTATTATTATTAAATGTACAATGTACTTAATATATATTTTTAGTCGACTTATATTACCCGAAGAGTCGGATTATAATTCGACTAGTAATTTTCACTGTATATATTAATTATTGTATTATATTTTAATTGTAAAAGCCGTATGCAAACAAAATTATGAATGAATCGTCCAATGATTCTATTAAGCAAAATCGACCTATATTTGTCTGTTCTGTTCATGATAAATGGTATACAAGTTTCTGACTTTTTTGTACAAAGCAAAATTTCCACTTGGCTAGTATTTTTTGAGTTGTTTCTTATTTATTGTGAGATAGAAAAGAAATTCTATGTATTTATTTTATTCAAATGTCGGTGAGTTTTGACGAAAACGTCTTACCTATCTATGTCGTGATTCACCGGACATAAGGGCCAATGCGAGGTAGGGACTGACAGGGCGGTCGCGGGGGGAGTGCGGACACAGTTTATATTTGAGCAGTGTTCTAAAAATTACTGTATTAATATAAAAGAATTCCGTCTTAGCCGTTAAGAATTTTAAAATTTTTACATAATTCTGTCTGGTGGTATCTTAAGGAATGGTGGTTTTTCGAGTCGCAAAATACGAGTTTAAAGTAAATAAACAAGCAAGCGTGTAGTCTGTAGAAGCCGCACTGTCGTATCGTGGACTGCGGTGGTAGGGCGCGGCGGGGCGCAAGGGGCCGAGGAGCGGGGGGCGGCGCACGCTGCAGCGAGGTCGTCGCTCGCTCGGTAAGACGCCAGTCGGGAGCGGGATGCGGTGACGTATGCTGCATTGGCGCGGGCCGCGGACGTAGTGTAGACCGGGACGTTGTCGAGTGTTGTTGTCAATCCGAGCCCACCTGATTGAGTGTCCTAGTACGACGCCCCCGCTCTTCACTACCCGGCCGCGACCGCCTCTGGACGGCCCGGTCCCAGGATCCCCAAAATGGTAAGTGTGGTCGAAGTTCCCGATCTCGGTTTGTTTACGTCGGCCCTCGTGCCGCTCTCACTCTATCGACCTGCCGCCCGTATCCCTCTGTCACTCTCGCCCGCGCCTCTCTATTTTGTTTTGTTTTCCAAAATGCAGACACCTACGTCGACGGTTCCGAAGCTGGTCCCGTCGGAAGGTCGCGTTTTTGTTAGTGAGCATGTTTAGTGCATTTTTTGTAGTGTCTTTTCGCAGGTAGCCGAGGGGTCGTCATCCGAATCGCTGCGAATTTGAGATGCGACCGAGTGTAAATGACTGCAAGAAAATTAGGAATGTAAAGTGCATAATGAGTTTGACGTCGCATAAAATGTAGGTCGGCGGTGTCCGGCCGCGACACGCGATGTCGTGCTGTGCCGCTCCCTTCAGGCTGGCCCTTGTTATCAAACGATTATTATTGACTTTATTTTCCATTCATAAATTCATAGAACTATGTACATATCTTTCCTTAAGGTACTTGGGAATTGGTACGTATTAACTGCAGCTTCATTTATTATTATTTCATGTTATATTAGTTAAATGATAAATCATATTTTGAAATATCGATAATTACGATACATACATATCGTATGTAAAAAACCGTGTCTAAGTAAGCAAGATATCTTGATTTGCCCGTAATAATAATAAGCGCAAAAAGTGTGGTCGGAACCCACTTCCGTTCTTTTGTCATTCGTCAGGTACGTTTCTTTCCGGCCCTTTCAAATAGAAAGTATGGAGAGCGTCTAAGTTTATTTTACTTGTGTTTAGTCATTCATGTGCTCGGTATCTTGTCCCGATTTACGCGAAGAGCGTATCGTAATCATTACGTGCAGTGACAGGAAAGTGAGTCATGTCGCTCGCAGTTTCGCGCAATTTTATCCGCACGTCATTGGTCCCGCGGACGCTAGTGCGGGCATTACGCGAAGTTCAATGAGAAACACCCGCAATTACAATGAATTGTGTCACTACTGGGAAAACCAATAACGTATGCTTACCGGTTAAGTACTCTAAAGAATCACGTTAATTCATTAAAATAACTTTTGAATTAAAATAAGCAAAAGTACGACCTAGTTTTGTAAAACTGTAAACAAGATATCCCGTAGACATGTAGTCTGTTGCCGTATATCACATTGCAAATAGAACAATTATGCAATCATAATAATGGGAAACGACAAACGAGCCAAATACAAATGATGAATGATGAAAAATGTATATATAAGTTTAAATTTTCGTGTTATTAATGAAATTTGATCTTAGTTAAAAAGATGGCGGAATATAAAAACGATTTATAAATACGGTTTCACGTTACATGCTATGATTACTATCCAATTGCTATCTTTAACCGG